TTCTCTCCTGAGGAGCTTCCTGAAATATTCCAAACTGGCCTCCAGGAGCAGAATCAACACTTGATTCTACTAATAGATAATCAAGGTATGAAACAGGTAAGAAACAGATAACTAACAGGGATGCAAATGCACAGCATAGGGAATATAGCCAATATTTTATAACTACTTTATATGGAGTATGATCCATTATAGACTCCTGAGAGTCCCTTGAACAGCAAGGAAATCAAACCAGTCAAATTTAAGGGAGATCACCCTGAATACTCGTTGGAAGGACTAATGCTGAAGTTGCAACTCCAGTATTCTGGTCATCTGATTTGAATAGCTGACTCATTGGAAAAGTCCCTGATACTGGGAAAGACTGAGGACAGAAGGAAAAGAGGGTGTCAGGGGATGGGACGGCTGGATGGCATCACCAATGCAATGGACCTGAACTTGAGCAAACTTCGGGAGATGGTGAGGGACAGAGAGGCCTGGTGTGCTACAGTCCATGGCATCACAAAGAGTCGGACATGACCGAGCAACTGAACAACAACATGATCTATTATCATCATCCAAATAGCAAAGTAGTAAATTGTACACCTGAAAGTAATATCCTGTAAGTCAATTGTATTTCTGTTTTTTAAAAAAGCAATAAAAAAATAAGAGCAGGTTTAAAAACAAACCAAAAAAACACAAAAAATGAATGAACTTTATAAACTGGATTGTGTCCCCTCCCCCAAATTGGTATGTTGAATCCCTCACGTTGAAGAGACCAGAATGCGACATCCCTGATGGGGGTTCTAGTGGTTAAGATTTCACTTTCCCATGCAGAGATAGCAGGTTTGATCATTGGTCAGGGAATTAAGATCTCACATGCTGCAGGGTGTGGCCAAAAATTAAAAATAAATAAATAAAAATTGAAGAGCCCAGAATGGGGCTGTCTATGGGGAAGGGGCAGATAAAACATTGATTAGGTTAAAGTTTTCCCCTGAGGGTGGGTCCCTCGTCCCAGCAGACTGGTGCCCTTAGAAGAAAAGCAGGACACACCAGAGCCTGAGGAGGGGCAGGCCGAGAAGGACGCAGCAGGTGAGTGGTGTCTACACTCTAAGGATGGCGGCCTCAGGAGAAAACAAACCCACCTACACCTTCATCTGGAAACTTCCTGCCTCCAGGACCGAGCCTCTGGCAGCAGTTGGAAACTTTTTCATGCTAAGTCACTTCAGTTATGTCCAACTCTTTTGGACCTCATGGACTGTAGCCCGCCAGGCTCTTCTGTCCATGGGGATTCTCCAGGCAAGAACGCTGGAGTGGGTTGCCGTGCCCTTCTCCAGGGGATCTTCCGAACCCAAAGATCAAACCCGGGTGTCCTATGTCACCTGCATTGGCAGGCGGGTTCTTTACCACTAGTGCCTCCNGCTGGAGTGGGTTGCCGTGCCCTTCTCCAGGGGATCTTCCGAACCCAAAGATCAAACCCGGGTGTCCTATGTCACCTGCATTGGCAGGCGGGTTCTTTACCACTAGTGCCTCCAGGGAGATCCACTTTATTTAGATGAAACTAGAGCGTGCACCTCTAAATTCAGCCTGGGGGAAGGTGCAGTTTCACATCAAACCCCTCAGGATATATTTTCCATTTCTTTGACCCAGAACGATCTGGTTCTCACTGGCCTCTCCTTCCCAGGAGAACTTGTGTCCCAAGGACTCATGGTGACAGAGGAGACTGACAGTCGGCTTTTCCCACAGTCAAATAGCCAAACAGACCTATTAGCTACATAGAGCTGGAGGAAGGTGAGCTCTCTATTACATTCAATGTTAAACAGCCTCCAGGAATACCAGCAACTGTATTTTTTCCCCTTTGACCATGTGTGAATGAAAGGTCGGTTTCTTGGGTCGATAATTATGGTAGCACAAGTTTTAAAGTGAAGTGAAAAGTGATTTCAGCCCAGGCTCACAGAGGAGGATTATATTGTCAAGGGCAGAGCAAGGTCACTGAAGGCAAAAGCATGTTTTTTATGTTCTTTGCAATTTCGCATTTCATATAATAAGGTAGCAGACTTGCTGTATGGAATGACAGTCATCCTCACATCTGGGATTTCTGCCCTGAAGTCTCCACCCCAGCAAGAATGGGGCCACTTTTCCCCACTAAGAGGAGCAGCTCAAAACTGCTGCAGCAGGCAAAGGGCCCAAGACACTTCCTTTGGGCACTTTTGTGGGGCCTCACCTGGCTCAGGTCAGGTGTCTCCACGTGTGAGGAAGCAGGTGCTCCTGGATCCAGAGAATGACCTACCTCTATGAGGGTGAAGGATCAATGCAGGAGGAAGAAGTCTGGGTAGGTCTGTGTTCATGCCTCTGGCTCCCTGGAATCTGCTGGAAAGTCTCTTAGTGAGCTTGTAGATTTGTAGATAAGTTTCCTCTAAGCAGCAAAGCATGTTTCTGGTCAGGTCTGATGTGTGGACCATAGCGGGGCATGGCTGCGGGTGGGCTAGGTTGGCCCCCGGGCCTGCCCTGTATCTCTGCACTCCAAGGCCTCCCCTCCCACGTCGGGTGAAAGCATCTGGACACTAGGTTCATATCACAGTGTGGTTTGGAAATAAACCAGAAAAGGTGAGGGGTGAAAATCCTTTGTCAAGTCCTTCTATAGGATTTTAAAAAAGACTCAAATAACAGAACTGGGCTGCTGCAGGCCCCTAGATCCAGTTTAACAGGCTTTTCAACTTGCTCTAGAGACTGCAGACAGCAGGGTCCAGAAAATGAACAGAAATGTCCATCTACCTCTTGTTTTAAGAGTCTGCAGGTGGCTGAGATCGAGGCCTCACACAGAACCGGCCTGCAGGCCGACTGAAGAGGTCAGTGCCAGGTGTCCCCTGGGCCAGTGTAGACAGCCGGTAACACACAACTCAGCAGGGGGAAAGAAGCCTGGAATTGGGAGGGAAAAACACACACACACACACACACACACACACACACACACATTCACACGCACACACACCCCTGCACACACAAGAGACATCTATGCATGTATATCCACACTCACACACATACCTGTGCACACATGCGTGCACACACACACCTAGAGCACACAGATATATGTGCCTGTATACCCACATGCACACACACACACACACACATACATACACACACCTCTGGAACACACAGATATTTGTGCCTGTATACCCACATACACACATGTGCATGCACACACATGCACACATCCTGAACTTAACATTTTTCTGTTGACTAGTAGCAGGGCTGAGACATCTCTCATGGGAATCTGTTTCCACCCAGCTGGATTAGGGTTAGTTAGTCTACTTTCTGGGCCACCGCTCAACCCAGGGAGATTTCAGGACTCAGCCTTTAGATTCAGTTGAGTTTGCCTGTCTCAGTTGTGCAGGCAAGGGGGGTCCTTCCCAGGACCTGTGTTTGCCAGGGCGGGGCGGTGGGGGGGGTCTCCTCTCTGGCCAGACCTGTGTCCCTTCTCCCCTGTTGATCATTATCTGGGTCCTGGTGACCCCAGAGTTACTGATCACCAAGAAGAAAGCACACTGTCTCTGTTAAGGAGTGCAGGAGACCCTTGGGGTGATGTGTGGTCTGGAGGATATGACGAAAGGGAGGGGGTGCCAGCCAAGACTCTCCTGCCCCGGCCCATCGGGAGGGACTTGCAGGAGTCCTAGGACCCTGTCCCACTTGGCTCTCCGGGTTGCTGTGGGTGTGCCTTTGTTCTGGTAGGGGTAAAGGACAGGACATAGTTTATTCAGCTAGTTTATTTCGCAGTTTAATTTATAAAAGTTAAGTATCAGTCATCTGTCACAGGAGCCTCTGTCTGTGCTCTTCCCAGAACCCAGGAATATTTGGGGCACTGGGTTTCCTCCAGGGAAAGTGACTCACCTCCAGCCCCAGCGGGACTCAGCTTCGCGCCCACATCAATGCTGGGACACAGCTCTAAGAAAATCGTGGGCTCCAACTGCCCAAGGCTGCGAGCCTCAGGCCTTGTTGCTTCTCCTACAGCATCTCACCACTCCTCCCTGCGACCGCTGCCAAAGGCCAGCGGGAGAGGGGCTTCCCACATCCCCACCCAGGATACCGCGTTTCTGCTGGTCTGTCTAATCTCTGCGCTCAGCTCCGTCCAGAGAGGCAGGCGGTCCCGCCCGGAGCAGCCTCAGCCCTCGGCCCTTGTTCCAGGGGACCGGTCCCTGCGGGGCCACCACGAGGGGAGGCTCGGATCTCCTCGTGTTCAACAGAAACGCGCCCCACGACCACATCCCCTGGAGACCTCCCTGACTGCGGAACCGCGGTCCAGACAAGTCTGTGGCCGTTAGACCTGACCTCTGGGAATCCATCAAGTCCCTCAGTCGTCTGAAATACGTTTCCTCGAGGCCCTGAACTACAAGAGGTTTTGGCAAGTTGGAAAACGGAGACTCGAACACTGAGAGCGCTGACTTTGAGCTTCTGAGGAGGTCCTGGACCGGAAAGTGCCGGCGGCCCTGGAGCCCGCCTTGCAATGCGCGCCACGAGGCGGCGCAGGAGAAGGGACCGGGCGGGTCCACGTTCCAGGCATCAGGCGGGACCGGACTCCTCTTGAACGCGAGTCTGCGAAAAGCCTGGCCAGACGGACTGTTAACGGTGAGACGCAGGTGCTCACTGACCGGGCGGAGTGAGCGCCAGGCGGAACGTGAGACCTGCTGTCCTCCTTTGAAAAGTGCGAGAGGCGGGCCCTGTACACGGAAGGCCGGGCGGGGTGCGCGCGGAGCCGCCGACACACCGCGCGCTTCCCCTCAGCCCTGAGTTCCTGCTCCTCTTCTTGGTCCAGTGGAGCCGGGCTGTCCACTGGGAAGAGCAGAGAGCAGGAGAGGACTCGGAGACTCACACCCAAACCCACAGGGACGACTTGGTCCCGGGGAGCAGGCTCCGCTAGCAGACCTGCGCTCCGCTCCTGTGAGACGGGCACGCCCGGACCTGTTCCCGGACGGACCCGGGCCGGGGGGAGCCTGGGGCTGGGGCGTCCTCCTCACACGACCGCGCCTGAGGGACAGGGCTGGGGGGCGGAGGTGAGCCTGCGGCTGAAGGGGCTTCAAATACACACAAACGTAAGGAATCCCAATATTCCTATTTCCTAGCTTTGGTATTTCTCAACATTTTACAAATCTTTTTTCAGCTCTGTACTTTTCATGTCTTTATTTCTCTTTTCCTTTTCTTTCTTTTTTGACTGAAATGGGAAATGTTTATTGTTTAATTCTTTCTGTATTCATTTAATTTTTAATTGGACTGTAGTGGCTTTACAACATTGTGTTAGACTCTACTGCACAGCAGAGTGAATCAGCTGCATGAATACATGTGTCCCTTCTTTCTTGATTTCCTTCCTACTGAGGTCACCACAGAGCATTTCCCCTTTATTTTTCTTTTTGCTAGACTGTTTTGAAACAAATCCAGGGTACCGTGTCATTTCACTGATCAGCCCTTCAGTGAGCTTCTTTAGCTGATGAGACCCTTTCTCTTCCAGCATAACTGCCACATTGCTGGCACCCTAATCAAGTCAATAAGAAGCCTCTGATATTACCCAGTCTATATTCAAACGTATCTGGCCCTCTCAAAAATGTTTTCTTGCAACTGGTCTCTTTGATACAGAATCCAAAAAAGGCCCACCTGTTGGCTGTTTTGCCTCTTTTCTCTCTATAATGGTAATCCTTCTTTCTCCTCAGGCCATTTTTTTTTTTTTTTTTTTAATATTGTTTTTCCTGTACAGCATCTCATGTTCTGACTTTGACTTATTGCTTCCTTGAGCAGTTGTTTTACTTGTTTCCCTAACCTTTGCATTTCCTGTAAATTGTTAGTTAGATGTAGAAACTTCATTAGTTTCAGGTTCAACTACTGGTGAGCCCTGAGGGAACTCAGGGAGTGGGGGGGCGTCCTCCTCACACGACGGCGCCTGAGGGACAGGGCTGGCGGGGTGGGGGGGCGTCCTCCTCACATGACGGCGCCTCAGGGACAGGGCTGGCGGGGTGGGGGGGCGTCCTCCTCACACGACGGCGCCTGAGGGACAGGGCTGGGGGGCGGAGGTGACCCTGCGGCTGAAGGGGCTTGTAAAGCCCTCCGTGGCTGCTTCCTTTCTTACGGCGAATGCCCAGTCGTGATGTTACTTAAAGACAAAAGAATAACCTTTGTAGCATCACTAAAACTCATGACTTTTCTCTTTCTCTCCCGCCTCTCGTTTCTCCTTTCTTTCCTTTTCTTCTCGTTTTAAACTCTCACATCTGACAAATGTCAAATACACAAACGTATAATGAATCATCATATTCATATTTCCTCGCTTCTTGGTATTTCTCAATATTTTGCAAATCTTTTTTCAGCTCTGTACTTTTCATGTCTTTATTTCACTCTTTCTTTTCTTTCTTTTTTTGACTGAAATGGGAAGTGTTTACTCTTGAATTTTTATTTCTGTATTCATTTATTTTTTAATTGGACTGTAGTGGCTTTACAACGTGTGTTAGTCTCTGCTTGCAGCGAAGTGAGTCAGCTGCATGAATACATGTGTCCCTTCTTTCTTGGATTTCCTTCCTACTGAGGTCACCACAGAGCATTTTCCCTTTCTTTTTCTTTTTGCTAGAGTGTTTTGAAGCAAATCCAGGGTACCATGTCATTTCACTGCTTAACCCTTCAGTGAGCGTCTTTAGCTGATGAGGCCCTTTCTCTTCCAGCGTAACTGCCACATTGCTGGCACCCTAATCAAGTCAATAAGAAGCCTCTGATATTACCCAGTCCATATTCAAACATATCTGGCCCTCTCAAAAAGTTTTCTTGCAATCGGGTCTCTTTGATACAGAATCCAAAAAAGGCCCACCCGTTGGTTGTTTTGCCTCTTTTCTCTCTATAGTCGTAATCCTTCTTTCTCCTCAGGCCATTGGGTTGGTAAAAAAACTAGTTTGTTTTTCCTACCTAGCATCTCCTGTCCTGAGTTTGATTTATTGCTTCCTTGAGTGGTTGTTTTACTTGTTTCTCTAACTTTTGCATTTCCTGTAAATTTAGTTAGCTGTAGAAACTTCATTAGTTTTAGGTTCAATTGCCGGTGAGCCCTGAGGGAACTCAGGGAAGGAAACAAGAAATACCCACTATCTAGTAGCCATCAGACTGCACCCACCCGCCATGGTGCAGCTTGAGGAAACTCAGGATGAGAAAACACGGGATCCTGGCCCCAGAGAGCTGAGGAAAGATTTCAGTGAGCCCAAACTCTTGCATCTTCCCATACATAGAAAAGTGCTAAATTCCTTAACTGGGGGTATCTGTTTTTGTCTTATTAACAATAACCTTTTGTTCTGAGTACACGTTGTTATTGCAAAAACTCCTGTCTATCCTGGCATATATGCTGGGTTCCCTATTTCCTCTTCCAAACAGTTTTATATGAGAGGCTCTCTCCCTAAAAATGCCCGCTGAATAAACATAACTCTTAACTTTTAGGTTGTGCATTTTTTTTCAGCGGACAAGCTTTTGGCCAGAATATTTCTTGGGTGGTGTTGTGCCCTTTTCTGAATCACAATAGGAGGTCCATGAACCTCTGGTCCTATCGCTTACGATGAGGACAAGGTTGATCATTGAGTTTAGTTGGTGTCAGCCTTAATTCTCTATCATCAAGTTCCCTGCCAAGCTTTCCAACAGAAATTTTAAAGCCATCCATTGACATTGTTTTAGTTTTATGGTTTCATTCAGGGGTGCAAAATGGTGATTTTCCAAATCTATTATCCATTCTTCATTAATTAGCTGGAAATTTTCTATAAATATTTCACTCACAATGGCTAAATACAGTTTCTACAAAAAGGGCAGAATAAATGCTTGATCTTTTTCCTGTATACCGATTTCCAGAGTGATAAGTTGGAACCTTAACAAACCCCAAGTATAAGTAATATTATTTTTTAAGTATCAGTATGACCTCATGGATTTTTCTATATTTGGTGTTTAAAATATAATTTACTGTTATATTTCTGTGTATTTAATGTGTTTATATATTTTATATATTTAACCAGTTGTAGTCATAATTCTNCAGGGAGGCCTGGTGTGCTGAGGTTCATGAGGTTGCAAAGAGTTGGACACGACTGAGCAACTGAACTGAACTGAATGGTTGTTTACCCTAAAATACAGTTTCTACAAGAAGGGCAGAATAAATGCTTAATCTTTTCTCTTATATTCCAACTTCCAGAGTGAAAAGTTGGCACCTTAACAAACTCCAAGTATAAATAATATATTTTTTTAAGTATCAGTACGACCTCATGGATTTTTCTATATTTTGTGTTTAAAATATAATTTACTGTTATATTTCTGTGTATTTAATGTGTTTATATATTTTATATATTTAACCAGTTGTAGTCATAATTCTCTGCCAGGATGGAAAATGCTCCATCCTAGCCTACAGAGTCCCCCTCAGGTTGGAGCCAGTGTTCTCTGGACATTCACCAGCCTTTGGTAGCTTCTCTACTATCTAGCACAATGAGATACCCCAGACTCATCTTGTCCATCTCATGCTCCGTACTTGGAACCTGCTGTTTCTATAAGACATCCATGGCCTGTGTGCTAGGGGCGCTCATTGCTACTTCATTGTCTCTGCATTTGTAGGGTTGGGGCTGAGAAATATACACTTGTTAAAAGAGGAAAAGTCAGGATTTTATATTAATACATCCAATTCAAATTTAAGGTTATAGGATTTTCATATAACCTTTAAATTTTATATGAATCTTCTCTTACGTCAAAAATCTTGGTTCTGATGATTTTTTTCTTCCTCCCCCCAACCTGACTTTCATCTTGAGAAGCTTCAGATGGACACACAGGCAAGATTAGTACAGTGCGTACCGTACACCTTCCCTCTGGATTCACAAGTTGTAATTGCTTTGCAAGTTTAATTTGCTTTGAGCGATTACAGAGGAAGTTGCCAGCTTTGTGACATTTCAGCCAGCCCTAAATACTTCAATTCATACCTCCTAGGAACAGGCCATTCTTCGGCAAAATGTCAATGCAGGAAACAACACAGATGCAAATCTCGTAGATACTGCTTTGAGGATGGGAACTGGTCATGTTGTGTTCAGATGACTTTGGCTTTTCCACTGGACAACAATCATGTCTTGCATCTTCAAAATATATGTTCTGCATACAAACTGTGCATACATTTTACACAAATATACATGTATTTTGTGAAAATGAAATTCTTCAAAGGTACTTAACAGGAAGCCACTGCCTTTCACTTTTTCATATTCACCTCTGCTCCTTCTCTGAATGACATGCTTACCCCTCTTATTTTCACTTATCAACTTTAAACACCATCTGTTGTCTCATAAACCATGAGGACTTAGTTGATACTACCCACTCCCCTAACCACTGGACCACCAGGGAATTCCCCCATGTTTTTATACTCCTTGATTTTTATGTGTGATTGTGATTGATCAAAGTGGAATGTGGACTTGCTCTTGCCAGATGAAGGAGAGGACAGTGTGTGTATATATCATCAGGAGTTGTAATAAATTTATGGGAAAAAAGGGAAGGCAACCCTGTCTCCCACCAGTGGGTATCTACAGGCCTCGTGGTGCAGAAATGACAAAAGGGGCAGTGGTCCTGGAGAATGCTTCTGTAAGTGATGTGTAAGTAGATCATGTGACTGTGCTGGAGTTAGAAATGGTCCTCCAGGAACCAGCTCTTAGGCCTCCTTACTCGGGATAGTTTTATGTTCCTAATGAAAGTTCTCAAATGCTAAGGTTAACTAACCCACAACCCACTGTCCTGGCCCAGGGAGGAGAAGGGGCAGCAGTCCTGGGCTCAGCAGATGGACAGGCTGCTGAGATTGCTGGGTCTGGGATGAGCTTCTGCTACGAATGAGGGGGCCCTGAGGCTGTGTCATTTATCACGTGCTCTCAGTCTCACCTGGACCCCCTGCATCGCTCACCTGTAGATCTGGTGATAAATCAGAGTGGAGGTAGCATGGCTCACGGCCTCGTCAGCATCCCCCAGTCCCGTACTCGGTGGGCTTTGCGGCCTGGCCTGTCTGCCTTTTCAAACTTCAAACTTTCTTAAGGAGAAAGGAGACACAAGACTCATTCTGGGCTCAAGGACGTATGCCTCACAAAATCCTTTTATTAAAACAATGGTTACAAATACTTCATATGGCTCCTCATCCCCTCTGCCATCGCTCCCAGCTCAGAGTCAACGGATGCAGCACTTGGCTTTGCCCTTGTAGCAGGTGCCTTCAATCCTGTTGTAGAGTGGGCAGGGCGACAGATTGCAGGTCCCCCCTTTCCTGGCACATATGTAGCTGTCAGTCCGCTGGCCGAGAATCGTCAGATGGCAGGCACCTGTGAGAAGGGAAAAGCAAGCATGTCAGACTCCTGGCTTGCAGCCACAGGGATTTTAGGATGCTCAGGGAAAGCAGGACAGACAGCCCTTTGCAAAGCATGTCACAGGGGTTTCCCTTGCAAGAGCTTCACACCTAGATGACCTGTGGAGCTGCTCATGAAACACGGCATCTAAAGAGCCCCCTTGATACTGGTGGGTTATGGTGTCTCCACCCTTAGCGAGCCCTCATTTTTTGGCATTATCTTTGAAGATTCAGTACATTATAGGGCCAAAAAGGAATAGTAACGTATCTCATCAGAGTGCTTTGGTTACGTTCCTTATTCTAGAATGAGTCTGTGTGATTTTTAGCAAAGCACTCAAACATTCTGAACCTCAGTTCTCAAATAAGGAGACTAGATTCTGTGATCTCATCCATTTTCAAGATTCTGAGGCTGGTCATCTTTCTTTTGGTGGAGAAATAGCACTTTTATGGTTACTTTTTTTAAATTTAAACTTTTTATTTTATATTGGAGTATAGCTGATTAACAATGTGATAATTTCAGGTGGACAGCAAAGGGACACACCCATACATATACATGTATCCATTCTCCCCCAAATGTTCCTCCCATCCAGGCTGGTGTGTAACACTGGGCAGAGTTCCATGTGCTATACAATAGGTCCTTGTTGGTTATCCATTTTATATATAGCAGTGTGTACATGTCCATCCCATTATGGCTGCATTTAATTCTCCAAGAAATGTATCACTTTTTCCTAACTAAATGACAGAGGAATTGAGATTAAGTGTTCTCATTATCTAATCAGTCAATGGTTATATTATGTTAAAAGATGCAGAAAAATATTGGAAAAAATTCAACATTGATTCATGATTACAAAAAAGAAAGAACTCCTACCAAATAAGGAACTGGAAGAAACTTCCTTAATTTGATAAAGAGTACTAACGGAAACCTACAGCACACTGTACACTTAATGGTCAAGCATTGAAAACATTCCATGAGATTGGCAATCAGATGAGCATAACTGCTATTTTCATTATTATTCCACATTGTACTTGAAGTACTAGCCAGGGGAATAAGATAAGAAAGAAGTAAACAAAAGGTACAAGGGTTGGAAAGGAAGAAATAAAACTGTCTCTACTTGCAGATATTATGATTATATGTAGGCAGTCTAAAAGGAATTAACAGCAAAGCATAGCAAATTTGCTGTCCATGAGATCAATATACAAAAAGAAAAAAGAAGAATTTTACTTCTGCAATCAACAGGAAAAAAAAAAGAAATAAAAACACCTTATAGAAGAGCATAAAACATGCCTGGTTACAAATCTAATAAATAATGTCCAATATCTCTATCTGTAAAGAATACAGTATTTTTTTATGGTAATTTAAAGAGGCCCTAAATAAGTAGAAATGCTATGTTTAAGCATTGGAGGATTAATTATTTTTAAAATGTTAATTTTCCCCCAATTAAGCTGCAGTGCTAGCCCAAAACCGTGAAAATCCCAGGAGATTCTTTCAGTGAGACTTGATGAGCTGATTCTAAAACTTTTGTGGCAATTCAAAGGACCAAGAATAGCTAAGGCAGTCTTAGAAAAGAAGGCAGGAGAACTTGCTTTACTGGATTTTGAGACTAATTATAGAGCCACTGTAATTAGACCAGGTGGTGAGGATACAAACATACCAATGGAACAGGGCAGACAAATATACAAATAGAATAGCAGAAGATGCCCAGAGAGTTTCATGCAGATACTGAAAGTTGAACAACAGTGGCTCAGCATAACAGTAGAGGAAAATGGTCTCTCCTCCGTGCTTGGTTCTGGAACAATTAAATATTCATAATGGAAAAAATAAACCCTTTACCCTTAGTCACACCATACGTGCATGTTAAAAATCACTGCCAGATGATTATAAACCTAGATGTAAAAGGAAAATCAATAAGCCCTCAGAAGACAACACTGAACACTCTTCATGCCTTTGGGCTAGAAAAAGATTTCTTAAGGCATCAAAGTACTAACCCTAAAGGAATAAATATGACACATTTAACCACCTTAAAATAATGTGGAAAATTCAGAGTGTGAAAAACTAAGGCACAAGGTGAGGGAAGATATTTGTCATGCTTACAGCTGACACAGCGCTCCTATGCAGAATATATAAAAAACTACTCCAGATTACAGGGCCTCTCCTCTGACCAGCCTCCACACCCAGGAGACAAATCACTTAAAGGAGCCATGTCTGGGGCATCCCTGGTGGTCCAGTGGTTAAGAATCTGCCTTGCAATGCAAGAGACACATGGGTGTGATCCCCGGCCCAGGAAGATCCCACATGCCTCAGAGCAACTGAGCCCCACATGCCACAACTACTAAGCCTGTGCCCTAGAGCGTGGGATCCGCAACTACTGAAGCCTGTATTCCAGAAAGCCCATGCTCATCCCCAACAAGAGAAGCCACTACAACAAGAAGCCTGCACACACAACAAGGAGCAGCCCCCGCTGCATAACTAGAGAAGGTCCTCACGTCAGCGAAGACCCAGCACAGCCAAAAGGAATAAATAGAACCTTACAAAGAAGAAGCCACGTTTGATTCTGTGACTGTCTGGTTTGACAGCCTCTGGGGCCCGCCTGAACAGAGATGGGGTCTCCTGCTCTTCAGGCCTGACTGACCTGCGCTTCCCTACATCCCTGGTTCCTATCCTGACCCCTTATGCCGGTCCCGGCATGCTCTGTGCCTTGACAGCCCTGCGGTGTTGGAGCTGATGGCCTGCGTTTGAGTCCCTGCTCTGTTACCGATCATGTGACTTTAGCCAAGTTATTAAGCCACGGAATGGGGGTAATGATTCTTCCTCTCATAGTGGAGCTGGGAGGACTAGAGTAAGAGTGACAGCTCTGTTTTTTTCTCTTTTTATCTGGACGTCTGGGCTTTCAAGGGGATCCCCTGGTTGCTCAGATGGTAAAGAGTCTGCTTGCAATGCAGGAGACCAGGGTTCAACTCCTGGGTGGGGGAAGATCCCTGGAGAAGGAAATGGCATCCTACTCCAGTATTTTTGCCTGGGAAATCCTATGGATGGAGGAGCCTGGCAGGCTACAGTCCGTGGGATCACAAAGAGTCGGACACAACTGAGCGGCTTTGCCTACATACTGGGCATTCATACCAACTATCCTTCCCATGTGGTTTGTCCAGGCCCCTCTCTCATTTTGATAGAGGCAGAGTGAAGAGACAAAATAGTTGATTAAGTAGTTAATCCCACTAGGGGATTGCAACTAGAAAATATGGGAGACTCCTGTAAGTTAATGATCACTCGAGAGAGCAGGTTTGCTTAACCACAAAACCAAGCAGGCTTGCTTAGCAACAAAACTGTGCAACAGAGGCACGAGACATGCCTCAGAACAGTAAAACAATGGTGGCAAGAGACCCACATCCTGCTCAGTGAGCTCAGTAAGTTAATGACCCCCAGGACATGCTGTCTACACACATGATAAAACTAATTTGTGGACCTAGCTTGACCAGGAAGGGATGAGAAAACTCCCCTGCTCAACCTGGAGGAGGAGCAATGTTGGAAGCATGATGTCCACCTAAGAAAGTCAAAGAAGATTTTCTCCCCCTCCCCACTTTTCCATTGTTTATAAAGCAGCACCCCATTGCCTGCCCACTTTTAAGCCTCACAAATGTCATATTCTAATAAATCACCTTTATCACTTTGCCTCTTATTGAATTCTTCTCTGGGGGGAGATATAAAGAACTTTGGTACCAGAGCTCTTCAGAAACACCCCCGGCCAAAAATGACTCCCAAAAGTTTCACTTTCACTGGTTTAGTTAAGTTGGGGCTGAAAATCCAGATTCCCACCGCAGCCAGGCAGATAACACAGCTCTGTGAAATGAGCTGAGGTGAGACAGTAGGGACCGGTGGGGTCTGCGGTGTCCTGAGGACTGCATCCTGTGTGGAGGCAAAGCCACTTTTTAGCTGCAGCTCACTGTTGCCGTGCAGGAATCTGCCACGTCTGTTGTGTCTTTAAGAGAAGATAACATGTACACACTGCTCTATTTGATGTGGATAACCAAAAGGGCTTCCCTGGTGGCTTAGCATGTAATGGATCTGCCTGCAATACAGGAGACACAGGAAACGTGGGTTCAACCCCTGGGTCAAGAAGATCTGGAGGAGGGCATGGCAACCCACTCTAGTATTCTTGCCTGGAGAATCCCATGGACAGAGACTGGCGAGCTACACCCCATGGAGTCACAGAGACAGATTTTGACTGAAGTCACTGAAAATGCAACCAAAAGGACCTACCGAATAGCACAGGGAACTCTGCTCAGTATTATGTAACAACCTCAACTGGAAAAGATTTTGAAAAAGAGTAGATACATGTATATGTACAACTGAATTATGTCGCTGCACACTTGAACATAACACATTTCTAATCAAGTATACTCCAGTATAAAATTAAAAGTTAAATAAAATTTTGCAACTTTTTTAAGAAAAGAAGATAAAAATCTGATTTTTTTGTGTGACATATCCTGGCTTTTAATTGGGAGAGAGTTAAAAGAAATATTATTTTTGAAAATTCCATGAACTCGAAAATGACTTTCATCATTCCCTCACTTCTCAGCTTCCTCAACAAAGCCTTCCTGGCTCCTCAAGACCCCATCAGCTCTCATTCAGCCAGGCAGATAACACAGCTCTGTGAAATGAGCTGAGGTGAGACAGTAGGGACCGGTGGGGTCTGCGGTGTCCTGAGGACTGCATCCTGTGTGGAGGCAAAGCCACTCTTTAGCTGCAGCTCACTGTTGCCGTGCAGGAATCTGCCACGTCTGTTGTGTCTTTAAGAGAAGATAACATGTACACACTGCTATATTTGATGTGGATAACCAAAAGGGCTTCCCTGGTGGCTTAGCATGTAATGGATCTGCCTGCAATACAGGAGACACAGGAAACGTGGGTTCAACCCCTGGGTCAAGAAGATCTGGAGGAGGGCATGGCAACCCACTCTAGTATTCTTGCCTGGAGAATCCCATGGACAGAGACTGGCGAGCTACACCCCATGGAGTCACAGAGACAGATTTTGACTGAAGTCACTGAGAATGCAACCAAAAGGACCTACCAAATAGCACAGGGAACTCTGCTCAGTATTATGTAACAACCTCAACTGGAAAAGATTTTGAAAAAGAGTAGATACATGTATATGTACAACTGAATTATGTCGCTGCACACTTGAACATAACACATTTCTAATCAAGTATACTCCAGTATAAAATTAAAAGTTAAATAAAATTTTGCAACTTTTTTAAGAAAAGAAGATAAAAATCTGATTTTTTTGTGTGACATATCCTGGCTTTTAATTGGGAGAGAGTTAAAAGAAATATTATTTTTGAAAATTCCATGAACTCGAAAATGACTTTCATCATTCCCTCACTTCTCAGCTTCCTCAACAAAGCCTTCCTGGCTCCTCAAGACCCCATCAGCTCTCATTGTCATGTGTCCCCCAGCATTGTGCCCTTAACAGCATTTCACAGCATAATTGTCATTAGCTAGGGAATTATGTAATCGGCTCTCTTGTGCTCTGCTTCTCAAATGTGTGGTCATGGATTCCGGGGCTGTTCCCCGACACATCCCCTGATCCCGGGGCAATGCCTGCTTGCAGCAGCTCTTAGCTGGATACTCCTTGAACAGTGAGGACACAGCCTCAGCCTTTCTCAGCACCTCTGCTGGGCTCCCATCCAGCTTCTGCAGGGACCTGGGTGCCCTTTCCATTGTGACAGCATTCCATGTTCACACAAAGACCATCCGTGTAAGCTAATAGTGGGCGACACAGGCCTTTTTCTCTGACCAGGATGAAAACTGCTCAAGAGAACACCAAGTCTGAGGATCTCCTGCAGTGACCACAAGCGCTGGTTCCCGCGGGCCTCGATTCCCCACCTGTGAAACGACTCGGTCTGAGGGCTTTTCCAGAAAAGGAGCAAACTGACCCTGTGGGAGCTCGGGGTGGCTGAGCAGTGCCGCCTCCCACCCTGCACTAGCCCCAGGCCTCCGACTTCGGGGCAGCCTGCTGGCAGGGCGGGTATTGCAGGGGCGGCTGCAGCAGCCACAACAACCAGCACACAGCAGTGAAGACGCAACCACAAGGAGGGGAAACACCCCAGCTGGCGCCTGCGTGCAGGGCACCTCGGCCTTGGGACACAGGCTGGGGACACCGGTGTGTTCTGACCCAGAAAACACCTGGGCTCTTCCTCCCCTCCAGACGTTTGGACATCCCCCAGAAAACGTGGTGTTAAGCTTGCCCATCCCTGCAGCCCCCTTTCCAGGTGTGAGCATCTCAGGGCTCAGAGCGGGTGCTCAACCTGCAGGGACCCTGCAGCTCAGGGCCCCCATAGCTCCAGCCCAGAGGTGGGGAGGACCCCACTCTGCCCCTTCTAGAAGAGGAATGGGGCTTGGCGAGCAGTCCGGAGGGTCCCCATCCTGAGGCCCTCTTTACTGCTGCTTCTGTGCAGACAGGGCTTGCCTGTCGTCCAAGGGCAGTACCTAAGCTAGTCCAGTTTACACTGGGTGCTCCACCATATCAGCTGCCATTTCTGTAAGGAGTAATTAGTAAGTTCAGTTCCTTGTGCGTGTCCCTGAGAACACTCTTTTTCGAGGCTTTGGATGAGATGCTTGTAATCCTACTTAGATGTCACCAACTGAAAACAACTCTTCATGTTAATATAGTGGCTTTCAAACATTTTGAGTGTGAGTTGAGCTGCAGTAAGAGACTTCACACGGCTGCTCATGAGCACACGTGCTGTGAGATGAGTATGATACCAGAGCAGGACAGTGACTGCACGGATTCTCTGCCTCTCTTAAGGGTCCCGACTGGAGACGTTAAAACTCTGCACTGGAATACTTCTGAACCCAGCTGGCCGAGGGGAACCCTGAGGAACCCCTGGAGTAAATGAGGCACAACTGCACAACGACGTGCCGGCCTGGAGGAAAGCACAGCGGGGCTTGCAGAGAATTCCAGAACTTTAACGCGCTTAGAGCCCTCTGCCACAGCCCACTCACTCTGCCAACGAGGAAACTAAAAGCCAGAAGAGGTGACTTGCTGGAGATGACCTGGGAGTGAGTGGCGGGGCTGGGATAAACTGTGTTCTTGATTCTTCTGGCAGGCAGGGGCTCGCCTTCTCTTACACCAGGGGCATTGCTGCTTTGACCTCGAGGAACTGGCATCCCCGGGCCTGACACAGAGCTCCCCTGCGGTGCACTGGGGAATGGGTCACCCTGGAGGATGTGAGCGGATTTCTCAAGGAAGGTGGATCCCTGAGTGCCTGCACGCAGGTGAGTCAAAGACTCCAGCTGAACTGGTCTTGTGGGCAGGGTAGGAGGCACCTGCTTGCAGGAGAACACCTGGGAGGACCCACCCCGAGACCTGGCGAGAGACAGGGTGCACCTCTGGGCTGGCTGGGACGCTGCACCTCTCAGGGGTAAGGGGGCATCTTGCAGATGGAGTAGGGGTCCCCTTCACAGAGGATACTTTCTGGATGCCCAAGACAGAGACAGGGCTGGGGGTGTGGGGGCTGCCTGGCACCCAACATCCCTGCCAAGGGCTAAGGGGAGGGAGCCCTGAGGGAGAGAGGAGAGAGAGAAGGGAGTCCGGCCCTCCTGCCGCTCAGCTGCCCTTAGGCTCCCAGGAGAACCAGCCCCAGGAGCCTCTAGGCAGGCAGGTGCACTCCTGCCACTCAGGATGGCCTGGACCCCTCAGTTGGACTGCCCCGCGCCATCTGCTCCAGACAGCCCGCTCAGCCCCGGGGAGGCCTTCCTGCTGCCCGGGCCTCGGGTCGCAGAGGCGGCCAACCTCAGACGCGACCCCAGGTTCCAGCCCCGGGTGCTGCAGGGTCCCGGCTCACCTGGGCCCAGCTGGGAGAGGAGCAGGCCAAGGGCCAGCAGCAGCAGGCGGAGGACCCTCATGGTGGCGGCAGGCAGCCGGAGGCCCGGGGAGGGAGACTCAGGGGAGGCTGGGCTCCAGAGGCTCCAGAGGCGGCAGGTTCACCGCCTTTATAGGGCTGGAGGATTGCACAACCACACACGCGGACGTGAAGGGCGGCGTCCAACGGCCAGGGAGAGATTCTAATAAATAACCCTACTCGTCAAGCCCTGAGTCGTCGGGGAGTCACGTGGACGCGCATCTCCCTCCAGCTGCAGCTGGATCCAGAGCTCAGCCTGCAGGCCTGGAGGCGGCTCCTCCCGCCTGCTCTGCTCTGGGTCCCCGTGGAGCCGCTCAGAGGGAGTTTCTGGGACGGGAGTGCACGCTGGAACCCCTCCTGCCAGAGGCTCAGGGAGCCGGACAGGTGGCCCTGGGGGCACTGAGCCAGGGGGTCGCCCGGCTGGCAGCCCGTGTCAGGCCTTTAGCTGAGCTGTGCTCTCCACGCGGTGCCCCAGACTTCACCCTCCTCCCTCACAAAAGCCAGGCTGTTGCCTTTCCTGCAGCCTTTAGGGATGGAATTTTCTTCCGCCCCAAGGTTGACTAATACTAGCCTTTCTAGTTTCTGGCCGGTGTTGCTTTTTTTAAATCAAAATGTTCTCTCAAATCTTTTATAATCTATGAGCTTCTTCTGTCAGTTAAACTTTTTTTTTTTGGTCAAGACATTTTGCAGAGCAGTTTTAAGTGCACAGCAAAATTTAGGGGAAGGAACAGAGTTCATCGTATTCATTTATCCTTTTACTCACTGATTGAAGTGTGTATGTTTGGTTCCTGTTATGTGCTCGGTGATGTTTAGAGTCTTGGGGTGCAGTGAGGAACAGATTTATGTTGGTTTCTTGCAAAAGTCTAGCTGAGGAGATGGAAGAGCAGACGAGCCGTTACCATGGCACTCGCTAGGTGCTCTGATTGGCAGCAAGTGAGGACCCCGGAGCAAGGCCGGTTTCTGAGGGAGCGTGTGTGAGTTTGGCTTTGGTTTCCTCCTTAGGCGATAGGGAGATCTTGGAAGATTTGAATCAGGAGAAATACACAAGCCAGTTGCCCTGTTAGAAACCATCTCAGGGAAGTGTGGGTGGAGAAAGGCAAGACTGGACTTGGGAGGACAAGGGAGGAGCTAGTGGAGCAAAGAGGGTCCTAACTAAGGTCGTGAAGGGGGGAAGAAAGGAGACATGGATTGAAGGGATGTTAAGAAGGAAAAGTTCCCCAGACACGGAAGGAGACAGATTAAGCTAGATCCCTGGCTCCATCCAGGTAAAAGGTGATGCCCTGGACCAAGGTACCATAACCAGTAGGAGGAGGTGATTCAGGGAAATGGTGGTGAGTTGCATAAACATTTCTGCGGAAGGAGTGTCTCAGTTTGGGTTTCCTGAGATGCAAAATTTGAGCCCAGAATGTGACTGAAGGTGGGAAGCTGGGATCGTAAAGAGGGGGGAGGTGACTGGACGAGAAGGAAGTGGACAGAGACGTGAGCCTCCAGCCGGTGGTTCCCTTCCTTGTCAGCGGCAGGGCTCCATGCTCCCGGGAGGCCCAGCCCTCGCGTCTCCCTCCCGCTTCCTCTGTGGAGCCGCAGGGCCTGGCACCGTGGCCGGGACAACCTCTTGGCTGGACTTGCCCCATCTGTGAAGCAGGGAGATTCAGACAGAGCCCATCAGGTCGGGACAGCTGGCGTCTGTGGTGTTTACACAGATCAGGGGAGGGACTGGCAGTGCACCTGATGTGTGCGGCGCTCCTGAGAGTAAGAGCAGCCACTTTCACTGACGGCTCACGGGCCCCAGGCCAGCCCACGTGCCCTGCATGAAGACTGAGCGTGGAGCACTCTGCATCAGAGATGTACTTGATTGCATTTCAGTGATATTTATGACCTAACCGCCATGTGCTGAAGCTGCAGGAGTGAAGAAGGTGCCCTGCTCCTGGGGGGCTGGCGGCTCCTGTTGGGGAGCCTCTCTCTCGTTTCCCAGCCACCTCCTCTGAGAAGTCCTCCCTGACCTCCCCTCGTCCTAAAAGTGGCTGGTACTTTTACAGCCTCCTTCCTGTCGAGTCCTTGGCATGCTGGCTGCATCCCCTGACGTCAGTGAGGTCTGAGGGAGGGGCCGCATGGAGACCCCCATCATCTCCCCTCCCAGGAGGGTCTGGTGTCCGGTATAGATGACCAGTCGCTGGAGGAAATGAATGAAATGAGTGCTGCCATGGACTGAATGGTGTCCCCCAGATTCCCATGTTGAAGCCCTGTGTTTGGAGGTGGGGCCTTTAAGGAGGTAATTAAGGCTGAAAGAAGTCACAAGGCCCCATCCCTGTAGGACGGGTAGTCTTATAAGCAGAGGAAGAGATTCATTGCTCTCTTTGCCACATGAGCACATGGTGAGAAGGCCGCCTCCAGAACCACGAGACAGGAGCATCTGTCCTTCAAGTTCCCAGCCTGGGTGTTTGATTACAGCAGCCGTCCTGACTAATACACCTGTCTGCACCTCGGTTAACTCTCTGTCTCCTAGGACAGTCCCAGAACTCCCTGGACTCAACTCCTGAGAGCTCCCCAACCTCTTGGCACTCCAGTGATGGCCCCTCTCTAAATGCCGCAGCCCATGTTTGTGAAAGGATTTCAATCTGAAATGGAACCAGAAGACATAAAATGGAAAATCTCATGCATGTGCCCGCAGAAAAATAAAACTTCAGGACTAAGAAACAGAGTTTCTGTAAATGCCCAGTTTACAGAAAAGTGATAATATTACAGTTTTCTTAAATGAGAGGGCCTTGGTCAGAGGTTGCCTCCTATCAGCCTTGGAAAGTTTGCTTATGGTTCCAGAGGTGAGAAAAAGAAATGACCTGGGTTAGGCTAATCTGAGCTTTGTTTGCTGCCTGGGCTGGTTCTGTCTGCTCAGGGAACTTTCAGGGCTGGTCTCTGTACTTTTTAAACTGATTTTTATTTTAATAGACGAACTTACTCTCCCTTCTTTACATTTCCTGGCCATAAACACAGCCTACCCCAAACCTTTTACTGACTCACTTTTGGCTTCTACAGTTTGTGTGCCCTGATGTAATTACTGCTGTTCCTGATAAACTCATCTTTTCGGCAATTTTGAACTTATCTCGGTTTACCTCTTCATGTGGGTCCAAGGTAGTTATTTCCATTCCACTCTGCTGAGTCTGAAAACAGACTCAAGGCCTTATTTATAGTTTGGGGCCAGGTCAGGAGGGCCTGCATCCCTCACTGCTTTCTGCGGAACAGGGATCATTAACATTCTTTGCCTGAGAAAGCATGGGTCAGGGTCTTTTCAGGGACAAACTTCAGATTTAAGCACATTTGTGTCGGGTAAAAGAAAAAGAAAATCTACGTGTGTACGTATCCACATATGTAAATAGAGGGGAAAGCCTGGAAACTAACAGAAAGTCACCAAATGGAAGCAGAATTTGTTTCTGAGAAAGGGCAGGGGTTTGGAGGGACAGGCTGGGGAGAAATCCTCCCTGCGTTCCTGCGGCAGGTTTGCATCCTGATTATTCGGTTAGCGGAGCTCACGTGGTGGTCAGGGGTGGCATGTGCCCTGGAATTCCCCGCACTTGCCCCTGTTCTCTCCCTGGCACCTGACCTTGGTCACAGCCGGCTGGGTCCCGTCCTTGTCTGCCAGTCTCCAGGGCACGTCTGCCTCACAGGCCGCGTGGTCGGCCGCTTCCTGGAGGCAGGAGTTGTTTGCGTCAGGTGTTGATCACACCTTGGAGCATGAGACCTGGGGCAGAGGTGCGGAGGGGGAGGGGGTGCCGGGAGCACCCGCTCTGAGCCCCACTGGCTGAGGATCAAGCTAGACTCTGTGGGGCTGAGCTGCTTTCGGGGACCCTTCCGAGAGGTGGTCCTGGCTGTGGACACTGGAGCTGGGTCCTCAGTGCCAGGAGGGCAGGGCCTGAACGAGCCCCTCCCCGGCCCGGGTGTGATGCAGGGATGCCCACCCCTGTGCCTGCAGCAGCCCACAGAACCATCAGGGCCACGAGGGGAGCTGGATCAGCCCCGGTCAGATAGACTGAATCATGCTTCAGAGCACTTTGAAGACACACAAGATTGGTTGTGATTCTTTTTTTTCTAACGCATTTTGAAAATTGCACTATAGTTGATTTACAACGTTGTGTTAATTACAGCTATACAACAAGGTGATTCAGTTATATACATACTCTTCTTTTATTATTCTCTTCCTTTGTGGTTTATCATAGGATATTGATTACAGCGCTCTGGTAGTAATTCTACAATCAAGAATAATCTCTAATATAGAACCTCCTGTCTCATCTCCACTCAGCCCTTCTTCCCTTACCTAGAAGGGCGAACCTCAGAAATGGATGTCAGTGGATGCTCTTAACTTCCTCCCCATCTTTGCAATCATCCTCCTGGATGCTCTGCAATGCCTCTGACATCTTTTCCAGAATTGAGCGTCGGACAGTGTCCCTCTCTGGATACAGACACAGTAAGGGTATCGTTTAAGTCATAACCCATGGGCTCCCCTCAGGCTGTGGTAACCGAGCTCTGACATTTGGACTGAGGGCGTAGAAACCATCTTTGCACAGTGACACCCAGAACGGCCTCTCACCACCAGGGTAGCCCCCTGACACCTGAGCTGGAGGGACTCCAGCATTAATGGAGAGTTCCCGCATCCCCCGGCAATGGAGTTGGAGGGGGAGGGTCTCACTGACCACGTTTAGTCTGCCTGGTACCAAAATCTGGCCTCTCTGATCTGCCTGGAGAGAGCTGAGCCGGCCAGAGAGCCCTACAGTCTTCCTATCCTCCAAGATGAGCACTTAGGGTTCACAAGGTCCTTGATTCAAGGGGACTCGCTTTTGCTTCACACAACAGTGAACCACACCTGCCTGCTGCTGAGCATCTGCAGGTTGCTTCTTAGTGTTAACTGTTGTTGAGAACAAAGGCAATCGGAAGCTCCTTAGAAACTTCAGGGGAGGATTGGCACATCCAGTCTACTCTGGGTGTGGAACAAAAGAGCTTCCAGGCCCAAAAGGAAGTAGAACCAGTTTATATGTGCAACTATCGATTCCCACTGGAACCCCCTCGCCAAAAAAAACACCTCCTGATGTAACCAGCTCTTCCTACGGATAATGGGTGTGCTGACTTTCCAGAACTGAGAATAACTAATGACGTCTGAAGTCTGGAGCTGGCAAAGTCACCAGGATCTGGGAAAGTCTGAGGTGCAGCTGGAAGGAGGCAGATGGTGTGGTGGGAGGCCTCCCGGATGAAGAGGAGGGGGCCTCCTGAATCAGGGTTCAGGAGCCGCTGGGTGCAGATGATCTCAGGTGTCCCAGGCCAGCTGTCACCCTCACATTCCCATCTAGCAAAAGAAGGCAGTGAATTCTATGGGGCTTTTTAGGGGCCAGTTTCCAAATGAGGCAGCCCTTAGAGTCACCAGGGACACCTTCATGAAATAGCTCCTGCTTAAAAATTGCCAGGAGTGAAACTCTAGAATCTTATCTTTTATTTAGGGGCTGTGCCACACAGATTTGAAGGATCATATTTCCCTGACCAGGGGCTGAACCCTTGCCTCGGCAGTGGAAGCACCTAGTCCTAACCACTGGACTGCCAAGGAATTCCCTGGAATCTATCTTTTCAAAATGAAAAAGACTCAGGCAATGTCGTGTGCTCTTAGCACAGAAGGAAGAGCTTCCTGCAGGCCTTGTGGCCTCCAGAATTCCCACCGGGCTGGCAACGTGAAGGCAGCATTTGCTCTAAAGGAGTGGACTCACAGGGCTTCCAGTTTGGATACTGGACAGGTGAGGGCCCTGTGCGGGCGTCAGGATGGGAGGCGGGTCATCCTGGCCCCCACCCATCCCCCTGCCCCCACCCAGATCCACCTGCGGACTTCACCATCCGACTTCCTTGCAAAGTGCTCAGAACTAAAGCAAGTTTTATTTTTTCACAGCATTGACAGTGAATGTGTCAGAAAGGTAATGGGGCAGCTGTCTTAGCAGGAGAAAAGGGGGTACACTGCCTCCCAGCACCCCATCCTCCCTGTTTATCGAGTCCCTGGAAGGCCAGGGTGGGTGCTAAACCTGGGTGCTTGCTCCTCCATAAATCATTATGCGCCCGCAGTCAGTTCCCTGGCTCTGAGCCAGACTCTTCTTTTTTCTCCTTATTGAACAAATATCACAATACCTGCCTGAGCCAGATGTTATGCCTGAGCAAAAGGAACACCTTGCTGGTCCTAACAGCCCTCATATTATGTGTTGCTTATTCATAGACAGAGATGGAAAAACTACCAAATTCTTGTTATTTGAATATATATTTCCAAATTCCTTGTGCACCACCTGCTTGTTATCCAGGAACCAGGCTTTCTCATCACGGGAAACTGCTTCTATTTTCTCCAAACAGATGCTGCTGGGTGCTTATTGCCATTCTAGAAAACCAAGAGGCCTCTCCAACAGGGGCCCAACAGAGTCCTCACCAAGTCCTTTCCTGGGCCTTGGCTTCTTGCTTATTAAGAATGAGTTTATAAAATGAAAGACAAATTTATGGTTACCAAAGAGGAAGGCGGGAAGAATAAATTAAGACTTTGAAATTAACATATACAAACTACTATATATAATAGATAACCAACAAGGACCTACTGTATAGTACAAGGAACTATACTTAATATTATATAATAACTTATAAGAGAATGTAAAAATGATTATATGTATTATATATAATTATATATGTACATATAATTGAATCACTTTATTATACACCTGAAACTACCACAACACTGTCAATCAACTATATTTCAAGAAACATTTTTAAAAAGGAATGAGTTTGTAAGATAGCTAAACAAGGACCTTCTGTATAGCACAGAAAACTATGTTCAATATCGTATAATAACCTATAACGGAAAAGAATCTGAAAAAGAATATGCACACACACACATATGTATATGGGGCTTCCCAGGTGGCACAGTGGTAAAGAATCCACCTGCTAATACAGCCCCAGGAGAGCTAATTTCCACCCCTGGGTTGGGAAGACCCCCTGGAGGAGGAAAGTGGCCACCCACTCCAGTGTTCTTGCCTGGAGAATCCCATGGACAGAGGTGGGCTACAGTCCATGGGGTCACAGAGTTGGACACAACTGAGTGAGCACACACAGTATACCACATCCACACACATTTAAAACGGAATCATGCTGTTTTAGGGAAATGAAAATGAAGTCTTGTTGGGACTTCAGAAGCAGGAGAGCAGGCCTCCGACTGATGTCTGGTCTGCCTGGACTACGTGCCTGCTCACAAACACACCAATTGTCGTCAGCAAGTCAAGCAGCACGTTTGCTAAGAGAGGGAGTGGATCTTGGCATTTTCTCAAGCCCCTGGAGACCTGTCCAGCCTCCGGGGTCCAGAAAAAAACTCACAAGATGAAATAAACAGCCTTGTAAAGATTAAACTTAAGCCAGAGCTACATTTTTGTGTGCAAACTGATGATGGTATCAGTGGGAGGCCTGGGATTATAATTGGGAGCTCCCAAAACTTCGATCTGAAGTCTTGCCCTTGAGGTGGATGCGCCATCTGGGGTGAAGGCATTCTGAGTCCGCTGTGGTTTTCCTCCAGGCAGCCCTGATGTTTCCTTTCCCCCCTCAGAGCTTGTTTCCAGAAAAGCTCAATGGGCTAGCTGGACCTGGCATCCCCATGCCACCCTCCTGTTCCTAACCAGGGGGATGTTGGGAAAGTTCTGGGTTTTTTCCTAACCAAGGTGAGGTGGCCATGGCATCTGGTAGGTAGAGGCTGAGAGGATGGCTAAGCATCTGGGTATCATCCGGTG